GTGACTCTGTGGTTTTAAATGTTTTTTAATGTCTAAAACCACGCTTTGCTTTAATATCTTAAAAAAGACATGTGAGGGTAAAATGATTTCATTTTTTGTTGGGAGTGTACATATAAATCACACTAAGAGTCGTTAATGTGATGGCATTGGTCTATATCAGTTTTTTTCTAAGGCCAGACATTTTATGAGATTCTAAAACTTTTATAAGTATAATTATTTCAACTAATCTAGAAAGGAAAATATAAGATGGAATTAAATTTAGGCCACTAACAGCTCACCAAAGCAAGTATTCTCATGGTGATGAAGAAAGAAGAGAAATTACATCTTTCCTTTCTCTTCTCCCCAATCATTCCTTCCCAAGTAGGGCTCCCACACTTGGCCTGCTGTAATGGCAAGAGTCCGAAGACTTGGGGAACATTTTGCCCTGGGGTACCCTAACAACAGCCCCGCTTAGCTCCTGAGCGTGAACCTGCCCTCCTGGGTCAGAACAGGCTTCCCAAACTTGAATGTGTGTACAGATCATGGGAGAGGTGGTTAAATGCAGGTTCAGATTCAGTGATCTGGGTTGGGACCTGAGGTTCTGCATTTCTAGCCAACTCCTAGGTGGTGCCAATGCTTTTGGAGTGGCTGCCACCCGCACGACCAACCAGGACCAGGGACAAACTGCAACTGAAGTACATGCCCTTAGCGGGAACCGAACCCGGGTCTCTCCGGACCGCAGGCCGACGCTCTAACCGCTGAGCCAAACCGGCCAGGGCCAACCTCTCTCCTTTTAAACACACGATGCCTCTTTATGGGGCTTGGTAATTTCTAGTAGGAGAAATGCTTTCCGTGGAGGACGCAGGAGAGGCCTGATTCCATCCATCTCCATCAGGCCTCAGCTCCGAGGAAATAAAAAGGTGTCCCGTCCCTACTAATGTGTTGCCAACTGCCCGTCTGACTCCCATTCTCACATTTAACTCAAGGCGAGGAGAGAGCCTCCAGGCAGCCAAGCCCACTTAGAGCGTTTTATGTGACTTGCGATGGAAATTTCAAACTGGAATGAATGGAGAACGCCCTGCTTATTTGTGAAGGGAAAGCAAAGCACTTAGCAGGTATTGATTGCAGTGGCCCTTCTCCAGAGGAGCGCGTTTGGCATCAGTCCTACTGCAGGCCAAGGGGCCAGCGTTACTTTCCTGATTGTGTTTTCCCAGTGGTCCTGATTAATAAACAACACTTACAGGAACCTTCTCTCATGGGTCATACAAGGTTTTACCCCTCCTGGAGAATGTTTTTTGGACTCGTGAACGTATCTGAGTGTGTGTATTGTCATCAAATCGTTTTTGGTCTCCTTTCTAGCAATATGCATTCTTCCCTGTCTGAATGGCGGTCGCTGTGTGGCCCCTTATCAGTGCACCTGCCCACCTGGCTGGACTGGGTCCCGCTGTCACACAGGTAGGCCTCCTCTCGTGGCTCGTGGTCTTGGCGACTTGGCTCCTTGAAGTCCTGGAGGACATTGATGAGTGGGGCTCAGATTCCAAGGTGGCGGTGAAAACAAGGGTTCCCAGGTTTCTCAAGAATTCCTCCAAATGTCCCGATAGGTGGTCTGAACGCTGAACGCTTTCGGGGCCTGTGCAGAGAGGAGCAGCTGAGTTGACTGGGTTGTCAGCTTTCTTCATGTCACCTGCTCTGTTCTGCAGGATTCACAGAAAATCTCTGCAGAGGTTCAGAAGAAAATGTACTTGAGTGCCAAGTTCAAGATGCTGGATTATGTCTGCTGAGCAGTGGAAGCCACCGAAGGGTTTTAAGCAGGAAAAGCATGGAATCAGATGTGCTTTTAGAACAATGATTTTGGCTGTAGTGTGGAAAATAGCAGAAAGCAAGACTGACAATAAATAGGGAGACCAGTTAGGAAGTTATCAAAGCAGAATCAGTAAGAGGTAATAACGTCTGGAGAAATGATAACCCGAAAGGATGGATTTGAGCAAAATGAGGGAGGGGAATCAACACTGCTTGGTTGTGGGTTTCATTGTGAGAGCGAAGGTCTGAGAAGAGTCAACGCCGATATTTCCAGTTTGGGTCCCTGAATGGAAGGTGGTGCCATTTACTGAGACAGAGACCCCAAGAGGAGCAGGGATGAGGTTTCGATAAGGAGTTAAGTATTGACTTGCTTTGCGGGGCCTGTAGAATGTACAAGGGAGACCTCTGATAGGCAGTTTGATGACGGTTTAGGTTCCCAGAAGATACTTCTAGATGGAAAAGAGAGATATGTAGGTCATCACTGGAAAACCTTCATGGGGGAAAAATAAGACTGTGCAGCAGACACAGGGCCTGAGAAGGTGGCTCGGAATGGAACACTGGGGGCTCCATGCCCGAGGGAAGGAAGGAGATGCTAAGCTTTGGGACGGGGAAGTGGACATCATCACTGATTTGTTAGTACAGTCAGGCACCACTAACTCATCGTGCTCCTGAAAAGGAGTCATATTCTTTGTGTCAGTAAGCAGAGTCTGTGGAGAGTTGATTTGGGGTTATTGGGTTCCATTTTTGCTATTTTTAAGCCTGACTTGTTTCATAATTTTCTGTTTATTGTATTGCAAATATGTGCATTCTGTTGACCTACATTTACTGTTCACTCACCAAGACAGCTCCCCAAGGGCAAAGCCTCATGTTTTATTTCTTGTCTTCTCTCTTCCAACCCACTGCTTATCAAGTGCCTGGTGCTTGCTGGCATTTCCCCCCTATTGTATGAGTGAATGATTAAAGAAGTAACATCTATTTATATCTCCAAAGAGGGGCTATCCATCTGGGGAAGCTTTCCAAGCTATAATGAGGCTGAAATAGAGACTGAAATGTTTCTCATTGCCAGGTTTCTCTCAACAGGCATTTTTTAAAAATGTATCTTTATTGTTGGAAGTATTACAGATGTCCCTCCTTTTTGCCCCCATTGATGCCCCCACCTTCACCACGTTGTTGTCTGTGTCCACTGGTTGTACATATATATGTGTGTATCAGTTCTTTGGTTTATCTCTTCCCGCTCCCGCACCCCCTTCCCTCTGAGGTTTGTCGGTCTTTTCCCTACTTCCAGGTCTCTAGATCTATTTTCTTCGTCAGTTTATTTTGTTCATTATATTCCACAAATAAGTGAGGTCATGTGATCCTTGTCCTTCTCTGATGCCTGTTGACAGAGAAAGACAAGTATCAACAGACATTTCATTTTCTTCCTGTGGGGAGTTTTTCTTTCTCTTTCATATGTGAACCTTGCTGGTGTCAGGTCTTGATCAGTTTTTAGCATCCTTGAGTTCTTGAACAAACAGGCTCATGCAAATGAAGCGTTGGTGATGAGACTGGATTTGTGAGGAAGACATCTTCGTAGTAAATCTTTGGGTGTCCACTCAGGGTTTCATCTGTGGCTAATTTTTAACTCTACTCCGGGTTCCATAATTCCAATCAAAGCCGATAAAAGTATTGAAATATGTTTCCTAGCAAACACAAGGGCATTTGAATCATCTGTTATTATAGATAACCTGTTCCCTGATGTATTGTCACAAGAGTTGATGTCTAATCTAGTGACTCAATCAGAGAATTCAGTGCTGGCTCCCTCAAGAGATTTACAGTCTAATTGAGCATGTGAAAACTTCACAGTTCAAAACTGTATGCCAAATGAGTTATATAAATAAAAATATTAAAGAAGAGAAAAATCAGTGGACTTGAAGTTATCAGCAAAGATTTCAATACGTAGGTAGAACTTACCTTGGGACTTAAATATGCAAATGACTAGTGTGGAAGGAAAAAGGGAGGTGGAGCCACATCAGAACATGAGGTCACAGTGATCCCACTTCGAGGAATATACCCTAAGAAGCCGGGAACAACAATCAGAAAGAATATATGTACCCCCATGTTCATAGCAGCACTATTTACAATAGCTAAGATCTGGAAACAGCCCAAGTGTCCATCAGTAGACAAATGGATAAAAATGTTGTGGTACATATACACAATGGAGTACTATGCAGCTGTAAGAAAGAAAGATCTCTTATCCTTTGAGATGACATGGAGGGACCTAGAGAATGTTATGCTAAGTGAAATAAGCCAGTCAGAGAAAGACAAGTATCACATGATCTCACTTATTTGTGGAATATAATGCAGAGAAAGACAGGTATCACGTGATCTCACTTATTTGTGGACTATCATGAACAAAATAAGGTCATGAACATAATAGACCCAGAGACATTGAAGTAGGGTTCAGACTGACAAACTTCAGAGGAGGGGGGTGGAAGGGAGGGAAGAGATAAACCAAAGAACTTACACATATAAGCATAACCAATGGACATAGACAACAATGCTGGGGGTGGGGCGGGACCAGAAGGAGGGTGGGGGGGGATGGAGAAACATCTGTAACAAAAATAAATTCATTAAATAAAAAAGAAAAGAAGCCCTGGCCGGTTTGGCTCAGCGGTTGGAGCATCGGCCTGCGGACTAGAGAGTCCCAGGTTCAGTTCCTGCCAGGGGCACATACCAAAAAAAAAAAAAGAAAGGAACGAAGAAAGAAAAGAACATGAGGTCAAGCCGTGGCAGAAATTCATAATGCCAATAGTCTGTGAGGGATGATGGTGGCTGTAGCCACAAGCAGAGCAAATCTTATTTACGTGCTTTCATTGACATCTTCAGAATTGCTAAATATTAATTAAATAAATGCATGAATTTTTTTTTTCATCCCAGCTGTTTGCCAGTCTCCTTGCCTAAATGGTGGGAAATGCGTAAGACCAAACCGATGCCATTGTCTCTCAGCTTGGACTGGACATGACTGTTCCAGGTAAGACGACCAAGAACCAATGTTTATAACATAAAGAGATCAGAATTCAAGTTAGGGTGTTCAGAAACCGGAAGGTATCACTGGTGTGAGTGTGAGCATTTTGTATCCAAAAGTATCCATTTTGAGGTACTCTCTCTAAATATGAACTAAAGCCAATGCAAAATTAAGGTTTGACAAATTAAACAATGATAACTCAAAAATAAATAATCTTGTACTCGCTTTGGCAGCACATATACTAAAATTGGAACAATACAGAGAGATTTGCTTGACCCCTACACAAGGATGACACACAGATCTGTGAAGCATTCCATATTTTTCCACAAAAAGATGGATAAACAAATAAATTAACTGTCTTCTTAAGTAGAAGATTACATTTTTTATATTATAGGATGTAAAGTAAATAATAAACATGCCCTGGCCAGTTTGGCTCAGCGGTAGAGTGTCAGCCCACGGACCAGAGAGTCCCGAGTTCGGTTCCCGCTGAGGGCACGTACCTCGGTTGCAGTTTGTCTCCGGCCCTGGTTGGGGTTGTGTGGGTGGCAGCCACTCGATGTCTCTCTCTCACATCGATGTTTCTCTCTCTTCCCCCCTCTCTCCCTCCTGCTCTATCTGAAGATAAATGCAAAAATGTCCTCAGATGAGGATTAAAAAATAATAATAATAATAAATGCAATACACTTTATTAATATTCATTTGCATTCTTGGTTACAATAAAAAATAGTATTAAAATGGATGATAAGAGTTAATTTCAAAGTTAAGAATTTTGTTTTATATTTGCAGTGTGTGTATATATTCAGTATTTAATTGGCTACAAGAAAAATTGTATAAATATAGGTTCTGTCAATTGGTTTGTCATTTCTAACTAAATAAATATAGTTGAAAAAAGATCATCACAAAAATAAGTTAAAGGAAAAATAGTTTAAAAAGTAATTTAAGGTTTTTTTAAAAAAATTGATTGACATACATATATTATTAGTTTCAAGTGTGCAACATAATGATTTGATGTCTGTATAATAACGTGAAATGATCACTATAATAAGTCTAGTTAACATCTATCACCATGCATAGTTACAAAACTACTTTTTCTGTGATGAGAACTTTTAAGATAAAAAAATGCTTACTCTCTTAACAACTTAATACACAGTACAATATTATTAACTGTAGTCAGCATGCTGTACATTACATCCCTGTGACCTATTTATTTTACAAGAGGATGTTTGTACATTTTGATGTCTTGACCCATTTCACCTACCCTCTGCTCCTTCACTCACACCTCTAGCAACCACCAGTCTGTCCTCTGTATATGTGGATTGGTTTTTGTTTTAGATTCCACACGTAAGTAAGAGCATACGGCATACGGTATTTGTTAATTGTTTTTCTCTGTCTGACTTATTTCAGCTGGCACAATGCCCTTAGGGTCCATCCTTGTTGTTCAAAATGGCAATATTTCTTCTTTTTTGTGGCTGAATAATATTCCAGAGTGGAATTGCTGGATCCTATGGTAGTTCTGTTTTATTGTTTTGCGGAACCTCCCTGCTGTTTTCCATAGTAGCTGCACTGATTTACATTCCCACCAACAAAGCGCAAGGGTCCCCTTTTCTCCACATCCTCGCCAGCACTTGTCGTCTTTGTGGTGACAGCGATTCTAACATGTGTTAGGTGATATCTCATTGTGGTTTTGATTTGCATCTCCCTGATGATTAGTAATTTGAGCATCTTTTCATGTCTATTGGCCATCGACCTGTCCTCTTTGGAAAAAAAATGTCTATTCAGATCCTCTGCCCATTTTTTAATCAAATTGTTTGTTTGCCTTTTGGTTGTTGAGTTGTATGAATTCTTTATATAGTTTGGATATTAAGTCCTTATCAGATATATGTGATTTGCAAACTTTTTCTCCCACTCAGTGGCTTGCCTTTTCATTTTCTTGATGGTTTCCTTTGCTGTGCCGAAACTTTTTAGTTTGATGTAGTCCTACCTGCTGATTTTCGCTTGTGTTGTCTTTGCGTTTGTTGTCAAACCTGAAAAATCATTGCCAAGATCAACGTCAAGAAGCTTGCTGCCTATGTTTCTTTTAGAACTTTTGTGGTTTCAGGTTTTACATTCAAGTTTTTAATTCATTTTGAGTTAATTTTTGTGTATGGTATTATACAGTTCCATTCCTTTGCACAGACCATCCAGTTTTCCCGACACCATTAATCGAAGAAACTGTCCTTTTCCCATTGTGGATGTTTGGCTCCTTTGTCACAATTAATTGACCATGTATGCATGGGTTTATTTCTGGGCTCTCTGTTCTGTTTTGTTGATCTGTATGTTTGCTTTCATGCCAACATTAGACTGTTTTGATTTCTGTAGCTTTGTTATAAAGTTTGAAACCGGGGAGTTTCAAAGCCTCCAGCTTTGATATTTTATCTTTCTCAAGATTTAAACTTTTTAAACCTTGGGAGATATCAGTTATATTTTATCATACCATGGATAGAATATTTTGTGTTAAAATATTGGCCCAGGCCAGTTTGGCTCAGCGGTTAGAGCGTCGGCCTGCGGTCCGGAGAGACCCGGGTTCGGTTCCCACTAAGGGCACGTACTTCGGTTGCAGTTTGTCCCCGGCCCTGGTTGGTCGTGCAGGTGGCAGCCACTCGATGTGTCCCTTTCACGTCGATGTTTCTCTCTCTCTCTCTCCCTTCCTCTCTCTCCCTCCCATTCTATCTGTACAAAAAATGGAAAAATATCCTCGGGTGAGGATTTAAAAAATATATATATATATTGTCCTCACAAATATCCTAATGTTGGAATATTACCAGCTTATTTTCAGACTTTCAGCATACATCATTGCATCACATCACTTAGGTTTGTATAATGTACGTTTACTTTAATCGTATAGGAATCATTAGAAACAAAGGCCTGTTTCCATATTCATTTTTTAAAATGGGAAACTTAGTTAACTAAAAACAATTCTTAATTTTCCATTTCCTTTTATTTTATTTTGATTGGAATGTTAAAATCAACCTAAAAAGACAAAAAGTCTATTTAAATACAAACTTAGTCAGCAACAACAAAAAATCTGTCTTGTGCCAATGAATTTCCTCATATCTTCTCAATCACCTGCCTTCTCTGCGAGGGGGAAAGTTCACGGAGCCCCAAAGAGCAAACCTGGTTGTACATGTATAATCAGAAGCTTCCAAGATAAAGATGACACTTTCACCAGAAAGTAGAGTTGAAAAAATATGAAAAACGAGTCAAACTGGAATGGATTTCTGGGGAAAATGAGGGAAAAGAAGAGAAAAAGAGAGGGCGGGGGGGAGGAAAGATACAAGGAATAAGAATGACAGTAACTCAAAAAGGAACAAAAACAATTGATAACATTTTATAATCTGAGACTTTCTATTTCCACTCCTTCAAACGGATGAGAAAAAGAAACCCGGAGTCTGCGTGGTTTCCTAACATCAGACTACTCCCAAAGGGGTCTTTCTTGACAAGGGCAAGGGTGGTTATTAACTTATGTGAAAATACTGTCTAATAAAGGGAACGACGTTACATTTTTATGTAAAAGCTTGATAAAGGAATCCAAAAATACAGGGCAAATTAAGCTGAGAAGTATATCCCACATTCAAGGAAAGGTCAACTTTAACCCGGGGGACTGGGCAGCCCCACCCCACCCCGCCCCGCCCCGTTATACTGCGATCCATTATTCTAGAAGATCCAAATTAGTTAGGACTCTCTAACTGCAACTCTAAATAGCTTAAGCAAAGAAAGGAATGTGTTCTCACAATAGAGGGACTTTGCATGGAACCCAAATACATGGGGCGGCTGAGCATCAGGAGGGTCAGAGCGAGGACTGGAAAGCCCCCTGCAGCCTCCCCGCCTCCCGCCTCACCTCTCTCCCGGGTCTGCTCCGTCCCTTCCCTTGCTGCGGAGTGGTTGTCTCTCAGGTTCTGTGCACGTGGAAGGACAGGACTGCTCACAGCTCCCACATTTCACGTGTCCTGCCACGGTAGCCACAGAAATAGTGAGCTGGCCCAGGAGAAGACCGGTCCGGATGGATTCGGGGCCCCACCATGGATCAGTCAACGGCGGTCCTCGGTTGGATTAGGTTGAAGAGTCGTTTTGTCAAACCTTACCTTTGGGTGAGGGGAGAGGAGGCTAGCAACTCCCAGAAGACGAAAGGTGGAATGTAATCCCCTGAAATGGAAGAGGGAGAAAGCTTTTCTGAAAAATCAAAACACATGTTTACAGATAAATTTTTTTTTAATTTTCTTCTCTCCCATGAGCTTGAGTACTTAAGAGCTCGTGTCCCTTGTACTTAGCGCCAGCAGAGAAGTTTGTGCTCAACAAGTGCTTGTTGACAGATGGAGCGATTTCTGGGCCTCTGTGACAGCCGTGGAGGAATGCCCTGTAGCGTTCAGTAACCCCCTCCCCCAGGATGAGCAAGGCTGCCGGGATCATCCCGGGTAGCTCAAGGCTTAAGAAAGAGATTGTGTTTCCTCTGATGTCCGCATGCCTCTTCAGAAAATGGATCTTAAACAAATACCATAAATAAAAACTCTAGACTGTTTTAATGCTGTAAGAGACTTTGGGGTTCATGAAGTCCAAGGCCCTCATTTGACAGATGGGAGGATTGTCAGACAGGACACTAGTGACAGAGCCTGGACTAAAACCCAGAGAAGATCTGCTGGCTCTCAGATCTTTTCATGAGTTACCACGTGTTCCTCATGCCCCTTAGTTGTCTTGCGGAAGGACGCCCATCCCTACAAAAGTCATGGATGGTGCCCAGGGATCTGAGACCTTCAGGCCTGTGTTAATCAGCCCCCAAAGGGCTAGTACCTCTTCAGTTCAGTTTTCTGTTGAATCTCTTTGTGTTTTGTTCCAGGAAAAGGAAGACTGGGTCTTAACCACCACACAATCAACCAGCTCTCCAAGAGCAGGATCATCTCTTCCTGGGATAGTCCTGGGCGTCCTGGAACTTAGCAAAGAAATCCCAACACGGTGCTGGGTCTTGTTTTGTTTAGTGCACTTGTCATTTGGAGGTTATCTTTTTATTTTGTGTTACATTTTGTTATTCCTTGTGACATACTTTCTTACATGTTTCCATGTTTAAAAATATGCCTGTATTTTCTATATAAAAATATATTAAACAGATGCTGCTCCACGCTCACCAAATGTACATACTCGGCTGTCTGTTGGGAAAGTTCCCGGTACACGTTTTCATTCAGTTACTTAAAACGATGTTTTGATTAAAATATATTTTGCTACGAAATAATGTTTTGCTGGACAGTGCCATTTTGTGAGGTGGCCACAGAACGATGAAGAGGAGCAATGATGT